GGAACTCATTATCAAGAGTCATGTCCCTGAGCTAGCAGGAATCAGGTGCCATTCCAAGCACCTGACGTGTATTAACTCATATAAGTCCTCCCCCACCCAACAAGCCTCTGGGGTTGCAGAGGAGCAAACCAAGAAACACAGAAAGACTGAGCTACTTGCCCAAGGTCACATAGCTGCTGGAGGCTCTCAAGGACTTTGACTCCAGAGTCCACAACAGTTCGAGAAATAAAATAAATGGTTTTGAAAGACGTGTAGGCTCAAAGACCCTTACTTACAGATCAAAACACTAGAAATAGAAAATGATTGATATTGGGGGCTCCAGGTAATTAATTCCCATTCCTACATTGATACAATAAAGTATTTATTTTTAAGTACCGTACAGGAAGCTATATGATTTAATGGAAGTGGTACTAGATTCAGACAGCCCTGGGTTTGAATCCTAGTTCAAGACTTTCTAACCACTCTTAGGTAGATAACTTAGCCACCCCTCACCCAGCTTCCTCCTCAATACCACAGCTCATCTTCTCACAAGACCTTGCAGGGGATGCCTATAAACACTTGGCCCAGGGCCTGGGATATAGGGGATGCTCAGAAAACAGTAGTTTTCTTCTCCTCTAGGAAGAAAAATGCATCATACTTAAGGAGACTTCTAAGGCTGCCAAGAATAAAGTCTAAAGTTATAGTAACTTCCACAATGCAGTAATATAAAGAAAACCTAATGAGAAAAAAATGCGCAAAGGAGACGCACAGGTAATTCACACAAGCAAAAGTAGAAATGAGCACAAAAAGGTTTTCAATATTTTTGGTAATTTGGGAGATGTAATTAAAATAATAATGCCTTCTTTATCCATTAGATTGGCAAAAATTGACAAGATTTATACTCTTCAGTGTTGGCAGAGTTAAAAAGAAACAGGCAGTTTCACATCCTAATGGAAGGAGTACAAAGTGAAAGCCTCTTATAAGTGGGAGCAATCTGGCAGAGCTATCCATTTAAAATTACTCTTTGACCCAGAAACTCTACTTCTAGGGATCTAGAAGACTGAGATATTTGTGAGTATTAACAATAAGTTAATTCACAGATTCTCCACTATTTTTAGAGTAGGAAATTGGAAATAACTGAAATATCCATTGATAAAGGATAGTTAAATAAATTATGATAAACCCATACTCTGGAACATAGACCAAAAACAAAACAAAACAAAGGCCTTTTCATGTCAGTACATATAGATCTCCAGAATACAGTGTTAAATTTAAAATGCAAACCAGAGAAAAATTTGTGGACTGTGTGAATGAGTGTGCATGTCCCTAAAAAGGCCTAGAAGCAGCAACACCTCAGTAGCAATGAGCACATAACATCCCAACCTTGGTTTTTAAAATACCATTCTCTATGACAAGGAACAAAGACTCTTTGGAGAAATGGCAAAATGCAGGACTGGAAAGTACAAGCCAAGTGTTGAACGTTTTGTGCCACGGAGTAAAGAAGTCCTCCAAGAGTGATGAGGATGTGTCAAAAGGACACAAGGGGCTCCTGCAGGCTAAGTCTGGGACAATTTTAGCAATAAAATGAACAAGAGTAAGAGACTATTATCTATTGCATTAATCAGGAATTCGTGAATGCAGAGGTGTAAATGGAAGAATAAACACAGGAGAAAGAAATGCTCTTCCTTTCAGTACAATTCCAACTGGTAGGTATAGAAAGAAATATGGAATTAGAAAATCACCATCTGTCAGCCGGCATAATAACTAGTTCAGGTAAGACTCATCAATGGATTCTAAAATTAGACAAAGTATGGGGAGTAACAGTGTATTTACAGAGTCTGGAGTTAATCTTACTAAAAGATACATATTAGTTACAAAGGGAAAATGGTGACTTTTCTGTAAGGGAACCTGGAAGACACCACCTTACTCAAGTGATCAAAGTTAACCTGACCAGTGACTGGGACTAATCAACAGCATATGCCTCCTCCTGCTGGGGCATGCTGAGATGGCTGCAGGGTCACCCCGGTGCTACTCTTGCCAAAAGCAGGTAATCTTAATCTAATCAGGAGGAAACTGCAGGCAAACCCAAACTGGGAGACATCATCCAAAAAAAAAAAAACAAAAAACAGGTGGCAAAAATGTCAATGTCATGAAACACAAAGACTCAGTAACTGTTCCAGATGAAAGGACAATAAGGAGGACAATTTGACACAATGTATAATCTTGGATTTTCTTTTGCTCCAAAGGACATTACTGGAGCTATCAGCAAAATCTGGAAAAGACTTATATATTAAATAAGAATGTTGTATCAGTGTTCGATTTCCTGATTTTAAATAACTATACTGTTATGTAAGAGAATGTCCTTGTTTTTAAGATACACACAATAAAGTACTTAGAGGTAAAAGGACATCATGTCTCTAGGTTACCGTTAAACAGTTCAGAAAAAAGTAATGACACATGAACAAATACGAGAGAAGGATAACACAAATTATGATTTGGAGAATGTGGGTAAAGGACAGCCAGAAATTCTCTGGATTATTCTTGCAACTTTTCAGTATAACCGAAATAATATTTTTTAACAATTTAAAAAGAGCAAGGTATGGATATGTACAGAAATATGGGTAAATTCCTGGGGATTTGGTTCATGATGGCATTCTGCTTTAAAGCAAAATGGTATTAATACTGGTCTCCCCAGAATACACTCTCCTCACAGATCTTCCCTTCCAGAAAGCCAGAAAAATATGTTTTGAAGGATCTCTCAAGACCAGCTCATTAATCAAGTTCTACAAAAGAAGCAACCACATAATCAAGCCTTCTTCCCTGCAGACCTGGCACTCTTTTTTTCCTCAGTGAAAGCCAAAGCATCCTGACACCATGAGTAGCTAATGATGCTGAGAACTTCGCTGGAATATGTAATCCATAAAGGAGTTTTCCATGAGAAACAGGTTCCAACCTTGGTCCAAAGTCTCCCCACCCCTCCGTCTTACTGGATTCTTGAGATGCTGCGGTGGGGGGGGGGGGGGTCACTGGTCAGTTGGTCCCCTGTGCCTTTCTGTTCCATTCCTCGGGAGCATTCACAGATCTGCTGGCTGAGCAGAATGTTCCAAGGTAGGCTGCTGGCTAAAAGGACTTGCAGGGTCAGTGGTCCTCTCAGTCATATATACACCATCTCTCTGGTGTTTAACAGCTCACAACAAGCTCTTGTGTATATTATTTTATTTCATCCTTTCTTTATAGCAACTTTAAAAAAAAAATCCTAATACTCAGTTTAACAGCAATACAAGAAAATATACCGTTTCCCAAACAATGTAATAAACTATAATGTCTCCCCTTGACTTCAAATCTAAAGCAGATAAACACTGAGATAGCATAAGCCTCATGAAAAACCGAGAAGTAAAACAGCCACTAGACTCAGCAAAGCAAATTCTATTGCTGAGCCCAGGAGAAATACAGCCCCCCTTTCCCTCTGCAACTGGCTAGCTTTCTTTCTTTTAAGCCCTGTCTTCAGGGCACACTCTGCCAGGAACTTTGGCTGGTTGTTACAGAGGTGTGTTTACAAGACACCACAGGGAATGAGGCCTTGTGGGTTTCCGTTCACAAGCAACAACCACCCCTGGGACAGCATCATGGTCTTCTGACAGCAGCCCTCCAACAGAACAACCACACCAGCCTCCCCGCATGGGCACCATCATTCATCTTTCCTCAGAGAAATCAAGGAATCGAACCTTCCAGGAGTAAATATGTTAACAAAAATTCCCCAAAAGCCCTAGCCTAGATCCAGAATCAAAATTTCTCTTAAAGAAAGGCCATTTCAACCAATGAAAAACTAAGTTTAATTCTAAGACAACCTATTCTACATGCATTTACCAACGCCAGCAGCACCTACATCCCAAAACAAATGGCAAAGCAGGTTCTGTTCTCACCTTTTAGAGTGGAGAACACTGAGAACCAGCGTTGGCAAGTAGCAGATCCAGGATTCACACCCAAGTCAGCCTGTTCAGGCCCCAATCCCACTGGCTTGCCCACAGTCCACCCAATCCACTGCGAACCAAGATGAATCAGGCAGAATTTCACTGCAACATTCCCGCTGTCACCCCACCCCCTATTCCCTAGATTTAGATGCCCTGTGGTCGTTCTACTCTTAAGCAGCCTCCCAACTGAACACTTTGAGTTGGCAAAGCAAAAAACAAGAAAAAGGGGCTTTACAATTGTTTATACTTCCTTTTCGGCCAGTGGAGTATTTTCATGATCTGTCATTATGGATGAACTCAGGGCGGGAGGAACACAACATTATGTAATGTCAGAGGGCAGGCGACAAGGGAGGTGGGGTGGGGGGAGGGAAAGCAAGCCCATCCTGGATCCCTTCGCCCACAAAGACATAAATCTACCCTTGACATTTTGAGTGTTTCAATCTTCTATGGCCTACACATTCATGACAGGGTTTTCAAGAGATGGTCACAGATCCCTGCAAATTTCTCAGGCCTGAATTAACTGACCAGCACAGCCAGAAAGAAATAATATACAAAAAGCCAAGATGCCAGAAATGTCGGGGGGTTATGGCCCGGCAGAAAAGGGAAGAGTTGAGAGGATGGAGACCAGATGTCCTACACTGAGATGCATGCTTATTTTTACCCGGTTATGTTTACACCCGAGACACAGCGAGGCCTTCAGCGTCTGGAGTCACTAGATCCAAGCAAGAGCCAAGATGTGGCCTCGGGGTCGACGCGTCCAGCATCCTGGCTCCCCACCACCCGCTCCAGCTCCGCACTCCCCTCAGCGCGAGACGGCCCGGGTCTCCTACTGGCTTAGGGGTCGGCCTGGCTCGGATTGTTCTCCAAAGACGCAACCGCCCGCGAACCGCTAGGCTGTAGGATTTCCATGACAACCGCGGGCGCCGTCTCAGTCAGGCGCACCCGGTACCGAGATGCGCGCCGCGCCCCGCCCCACCCCGCCGGGTGCATCCTTGCACCCAGCTCCTCGACAGCGCCGCGTCGCCCCCGCGCCCAGCTTGGCCCACCTACCTGGCGCTCCCCGGCCCGCGGCGCCCGCGCCCTGCTGCCCCGCCGTCCTAGGTCCCGCCGGGCCGCGCGCCCGAGCCCCGCAGCAGCAGCGCCGCCGCTTGGTCACCAAGTCACGGGCCGTGGGCCGGCTCTACGTGCTGGTTCTCCGGCGCCCGCCGGCCGCGAACCTTCCACCCGCGCAGCAATCCGAACTCCGCGGCCGCTGCCGCTGCTCTGGAGGTCGCGCTCAGCCCCGCCCCGGCCCCGCCCCTTCTCTGCGCATGCTCACTCAGCGACCCCCGGCCGGGCCGCCCCACCCCTCCGGGTCCACCTCCCTGGCGGAGGCGCAGGGCTGCTGAGACTTCCGCGCCGTATTCTACTCCTAGGTTACAGCAAGACCTCACTCTGATCCTGGACTGAGTCTCCTGCAAGGAGTTCTTGAACATCTGGACTTAATCGGACGATGGCATTTTCGCCCTCACATATACTGAGTCTTGTGAGGCTCGAATGTACCCCCTAAGAAGGTTCCATAGAAGAGTGGTCCCCGGGTGAAACGTTTCGGCCCTTTGCCCCCACGGTGAGCTTGCTTCCCGTGGTGCAGGTGCACTCAATCCCTAGCAGACGTGTAGGAAAAGGAACATTGAACCCAGAAACAAGAAAAAATTAAAATCATACTTTGAAAATACAGACAAGCAAAAGGAAGAAACCAGTAACAGCCTTGCAGACCTATTCTGGCATAACTGTATAAATATGCAATTATAGACTCTCACCGCATATCAGTTCCTTGCACTTCTCCCCCACTGTCCGCTCTGTTTTTTCATGGGAAAGAAATATATAATAAAGTTTTAGAGGAAACTTTTCATTTTAATATGACTTTAAACCTTAATATTTGTGCTTGAGCAAGAATACTGGACTGACTATAAGCAGGCATTTTATTTTGAAGTCTTTAAATTTTATTAGAAAAAAGGTCTCCTTAAAAATTCTTTTTTTTTTTGAAGATTTTATTTTATGTATTTATTTGACAGAGGGAGAGAGATCACAAGTAGGCAGAGAGGCAGGCAGAGAGAGAGAGGGGGAAGCAGGCTCCCTGCTGAGCAGAGATGGATGATGGATGCAGGGCTTGATCCCAGGACCCTGAGATCATGACCTGAGCCAAAGGCAGAGGCTTAACCCACTGAGCCACCCAGGTGCCCCTCTCCTTAAAAATTCTTAAACGAAAACTTTTTTAATTCAATAAGCCAGAACATTTATCAGAGTTTAGATAAATAGAAAAATTGACTTAAGCCTGACATAAAATTAAAGCCAAGAAAATCAAACTTGTGGAAATCCAAAAATGTTTTTATATCTTATTTTCTAAAATTAGGGTGACCAATATACCTGGTTTAACTGGGACAGCTCCAGTTCATACCTTTTTTCTAGCAAAAGTATTAATAAGATCCTCTTGACATCTCAAAAGTGTTCTCAAAAATGTTCAGATGATCCTATGGCCATACTAGTGTTAATCAAGCCAAGAGTGTTTTTAAATCATAAGCTTTTTAAAAAAACACATAAATTCACAAACACTTAAAAATACACAATAGAAAAAAATAAACAATAGTCCAATTTCAAAAAATTCTTTTACCATAATAGTGAGCAATGAATGACGATCAAGCTTCCAATAAGCATTTGTCAATTGATTGGCGTGTAATCCAGGATACTCCTAAAAGAATAATCACATTTCTTTTTTTTTTAAAGATTTTATTTATTTATTTGTCAGAGAGAGAGAGGGAGAGAGAGCAAGCACAGGCAGACAGAATGGCAGGCAGAGGCAGAGGGAGAAGCAGGTTCCCTGATGAGCAAGGAGCCCAATGTGGGCCTCGATCCCAGGACACTGGGATCATGACCTGAGCTGAAGGCAGCTGCTTAATCAACTGAGCCACCCAGGCGTCCTGAATAATCGCATTTCAAAGAGACTCTTACTGTCACAAAACAAACTGAGGGTGGCCTGGGGAGGGGTAGGGAGAGGGTGGTGGGGTTATGGACATTGCGGAGGGTATGTGCTATGGTGAGTGCTGTGAAGTGTGTAAACCTGGCGATTCACAGACCTGTACCCCTGGGGCTAATAATACATTATATGTTTATTAAAGAAATTTAAAAATTAAATTAAATTTAAAAAAAGAATAATCACGTTTCAGTAATGAGGAATGGGGCCCCAATTCCACTGTAGAGTAAACATTATCAAGAGAAAAGGAAACCAAGCTTGTTAGTATATATGATGCTATGCATTTTTGAAGCATCATAATGTTATAGAAGAAAGTATCCTAGAAGTGTGCTGGGGGGAAAGCATCCTTTAGAAGCTCTCAACATGAGGTCCCCAAACACCAGCATTACCATCCTCTTCCGTACTTACTAGAAATGCAAATTCCTGGGCCACATGCTAGACTTGCTAAGTCAGAAGCTGTGAAAGTGGAACCAAACAATCTGTATTTCAATATGGACCTAAATAATCTCTACACAATAAATAAGCTGATTAAGATAATCTACATACAGTAACTGAGAGCTGAGCAGTGTTATTTTGGGGACTGGAACCAACCAACTTGAGAATTTCTTTTTGGGTCATTAAATATGATATATTTATGTTTATATGTGTTTTCACTAGAGAATATATGTAGCCTTGAAAATCAACAGCCCTGCTGCCATAATGGCTGTGAAAAACAATGGCCGTGCAGCTACCAGAGGGGGAAAGGGATTTGGAGCCCCTCAAAAAGCTCTATCCCCAGAGAAATGTCACTATTGGATTCACTCATATGGCAGCTCACTGGAACAGCTCTGTTCTTGGGGCTTGATTTTAATTGACTTGACTCAGAGCTTACTCTCAGTGAATGTCCTATCCACAGAGCATTTGGGAAAAGCAGTCAGTGGTAATTATCTAAACACTGCAGCTGCCTAAGGTAGTGATACCAGTTGGAACCAACAAGAGACTGACCAAATAACAGGAAATAATCAAGAATTGCTATCCCTTAGTGGACTTTGGAAAGATCTGACACACTTCTGAGAAGATTCTAGAATCTTTAGATTCTGGGAATCTAAAAGGACACACACATACATGGCACCTGGGTGGCTCAGTTGTTAAGTGTCTTCCTTTGGCTCAGGTCATGATCTCAGGGTCCTGGGATCAAGCTCTACATCAGGCTCACTGCTCAGTGGAGAGATTGCTTCTCCCTCTGCTGCTGTGCTCTCTTGGGTCTGTCTGTCTCTCTGTCAAATAAATAAATAAAGTCTTTTTTTAAAGATTTTATTTATTTATTCATAAGAGACAGAGAGAGAGAGAGGCAGAGGCAGAGGGAGAAGCAGGCTCCCCAAGGGGCAGGGAGAATGATGTGGGACTCATCCCAGGACCCTGGGATCATGGCCCGAGCTGAAGGCAAATGCTTAATCATCTGTGCCACCCAGGCACACTAAATAAACAAAATCTTAAAAAAAAAATTAAAGGACACACACATGTGCACAATGCTCAGGAAAGATGTGAGAAGACCATAATCTCTCACTTTTGGCTAACTTCAAGGCTTTGAGCAAACTAGAGGTGAAGACTCAGGCAGAATTGTAAACTGCCTGCCTAAGCATTGAAGACAGGCTTCAACATATACACTCATAAAGGCAGAAAGACGTATTGGTTCCAGCATTTGAGAATATCTTTGTCTGATCACTAGCAACTCATTAAGCTAACCAAGCCAGGGTTTCAGCGGTTAAAAATGACAGAGAATACAGACTTTACAGAATTATTCCAACAGAGTCACTAAACAAAGTAACAACAAACTTTGGGGTAGAAGGAAATATGATTTCTAGAATTGTCATATTAGATTATTTAAAGTGTCTAGTTCTAAACAAAAATTTATGAGATATATAAAGAAATGGGAAAGGACCTAAGCTAAAAGTTACTGAATAGAAGGTCCATAAGAAAATACAAATGTTGGATTTACGAGACAAAGGCTTTAAATCACTTATTATAAATATATCCAAAGAAAGAAAATATATGTTCAAAGAACTAAAGAAATCTATATCTCGAAAAGTACAAGAGCAACAAAAAGAGAATATTAATAAAGAGATAGGAATTATAAAAAAAAGGAAGCAAACAAAAACCCTAAAATTAAAAGATGTAATAACTGAAGTAAGAATTATCTCAGAGAAGTACAACAGCAGGACTGAGCTCGCAGAAGACAGAATTTACACTTTAGGATAGGTCAATCGATATTGCCTAGTCTGAGGAACATAAAAAGAATGAAAAGTTTGAACAGAGCCTCAGAGGTTTTGTGGGACACCATCTAGTATATCAACGTAGACATACTGGAAGTCCCAGAAGGACACAGAAAGGTACATGAAGAATATCTGAAGAAATAATGACTAAAAAATTCCAATCTGATGAAAAACACTAATCTGTTTATCCAAGAAGTTCAGTAAACTCCAATTAGGATAAATGCAAAGAGAGTCACACTTAGATACATCACAATCAAACTATCAGAAGCCAGAGTTGGAGAGAATCTTAAAAGCACTGAAAGAAGCAACTCATTATGTACAAGGAATCCTCAAAAAAATTAAGAGCTGTCTTCACACCAGAAACCATGGAGGCCAGAAGGTAGTAAAATCATATACACACAGTACTGAAAGAAAAAGGCTGTAAATACAGAATTTTATATTCAGCAAAACTCATTCAGCAAAACTGTTTCCAAAAAAGTGAAATTAAGATATTCACAAATAATTAAAAAACTGGTAATTCATTGCCAGCAGAGTCACCCTATAGGAAACACTAAAGGGAATCCTTCGGGCTGAAATGAAAGGTCACTGGAGAGTAACTCAATTCACACGAAGGAATAAAAACTAAAGGCAAATATAAGGTAAAAGTTTGTGACACTTTTCTCTGATTTAAAAGACAATGACACAAGACAACAATATAATTTGATTGGCTGGTATAATATGAAAAGGTATAATGTGTATGGCAATAATAGAATAAGGCGTGTGAATAAAACTGCTTGATTGGAGCAAATTCTGTGTACACCATTGAAATTAGGTTAGTATTAATACAAACTAGATTGTTTCAAAT